AATACAGACACACACGCAAATACACCCATGACCGAGACGGGACTTGAATCTGCGACCTTCTGGTCTAAGACCGCTACAGCACTACTGCCCTAACGATCTTGACCGGTTTCATCCGAAATATAATACGAAATAGTTGTGAACGTATCTGATTAATTTTCGTTTCTGACCTACAATTTCCTCTTTAGTTTCTTTTATGTCATAATTTGGTCCAAATTGAGGGATTGTACTGTTGATATAAATATTACACGAACATATTGTATTGTACAGAATGTGATGTTTCTTCTCTTCTTTCCATTATAAAGTAATCATCTCACTCTGTTGTGTTCGCGTTCCAATGTTGTGAACGAGTTCCAACTCTTCTAATAACCTAGTTTTAATTATTAATTATGCAAATAGATCATTCACAATGACAGTTTTCAAACATGACATTAAGCTCGAGACTGCCGCGAGAATGGAGGACAGCAAAGGGTACTCTCCCGTCTTGGCCAGAGCGCCAAACATTGCCGTTTCTCGGCGTGCTCCAGTGCTTGAACTCTTTGTCGAAAAACTTTTGGTACGACATAAATCTACTTTAATTTAGTGTGTAAGTGTATTGTGAAAAAGAACATTGTTATCGAGATATAAGCAACAAACTATAAATAAAAGTGCAAAATCGTTAGGTTTTATTCCAATTTTCCGTGTGCAACCAACATTTGTTTAGTTGGCAAACCTAAAAATTCGAATTTAGCACCCCAAAAGATATAGAATTAGTGAGGAATCTGGATCAGGCCTTGTTGATCACTTGACTAGACTATTATCAGTGTAACTCAATCTTCATTATTTTGAGTGTTTTCAATACTTTTCTTAGTCTACTTGTTTATTATTTTTATTTGTCCTTTTTTGGATAGGTTGCTTTATTACCTTCCCGTCCTTTCTTTGACTCACCCTCCTGGCTTTGTTCCCTGTGGGATTCCAGGACATTTTGCCCTATTACCCTTCTAAAATGGAAACTTTCCTTCCTAGGCTGCGACAACCATTTGAAAGGTTATTTTGTATTGCAGAGCCACCCCAAAGGCCCATCTCAGCATAGTTTAACTGCTTTTGAAGGAAAGTAGTACCTCTATTTGGTTTGGGAAGCGCAGCTGTACCAGTGTCGAAGCTTTAGAACAAACACTGCTTGCCCCACTTGTCTAGTTACATATTTTGGATATTGTTCAATGATTCTAGTCTGCTAAATATTTAAGAAGCGAAGCCCTTTGCTTCCATTTGAATGTTCATATCTCTCTACTATTATCCGTTCACCGTAAGAAAAAACCTGATGTAAACAAACTAAAGAAATCTTTGCGCCGCACTATGCTTCTGATTGGACAACTATCCCAGTACTTTCGATTACGCGAGCAGAATACTCCGCCTATTCAAATTCAATAAGAGCTGTCACAAATGTCATGCTCATGCAACTACTTTTCATACGACCAGTCTGCTTAAGGAAGGGGTTGTCAATAACTGTATGTTGAATGCTATTTGTATAAATGGGTTGCCCTAAAATTCGGGAGTTTATCACATATCATAAGCCGAAACTTCTATTTCGCAAGCGTTGGTGTTTTCTTTTCTACACTTTTACCCTTTTGATGCAAGGAATGCACTTTCGATCGAACAGCACTGAATACAATGTCATCGTATGCTTCAACCACAGTTTTTTTGTCTTTCTTTTCTTCTCTGACGTTTGTAGTTGTCCTTTGTCAGTAAGCTCTTTCCGGAGTTTCAACACGTTGAATACGGATATTTCAGTAAACTCTGCGATTTGTTTCATGTGTAACGACGGATTCTTATGCAATAAGAATTGAAAAAAATCAGAACGATGCGCTTTTCGTACTCCGGAGAAACTTTTCAACTTGTGTTTAATTATTAAAGGCCCAGACACACTCTCAGACATTCAAAAACGAACTGAATACTCGTAGCAGAGCCTCGCAGGCCGTTCGGCGGCGTACCGCCGCAGTCCCACGCGCCTGACCCACGTCAATCATGGGCTGAACAGAGGCACGTAACCTTATCGCAAAGAACACGCAGTCAGTTCGCAATGGTCTCCTTCTCGAAACCGTTGAAATAATTTTGACGCAAGGTTAATTTAACGAACGACGGAAGGTAAATTAGTTCTTATACAGAGAAGTTTTTACTTTAGCGTCAGGATCCCTACAACAACAGACCTCACCGTGCAAACCAATGAGAATCATCCTAACACACGTGCAATTTGTTTACACCTGATTTTTTCTTAGGATGAACGGATAATAGTTCACAAGCCGCCACTTGCAACGCGCCGCAAGCAACGTTTCATTCGCCATTGAGCTGTGACGTATGGTGACGTGGCGAAGGATGGCGAAGGATTGTGATACACTGAAGCGTGCTCTGTTAAAGGCAAATAAAGGCTGCACGGACTGGATCCTTCGTTCATCACACGGCTCCGATTATTTCGAATGCAAGCCAGTACAGCCCAGCACAAATCACAGCCTGCGGCAATGTCCTGCTGCCTAAAGTCTGCAGTAAATAACGTCTCGTTTTGACGATTTAGTGCTGGAGTTAAATTATTTGCTAATAGGAAGTTCAAGGTGTGTCAAGAGACTGGGGAGTGTGGCTGTAGATGAATTAGTGTTGTTCTATGGTGTGGCTGTGTGATAAAACCTTTTTAGATTCGGCCATTTGACAGAGTCAGTGAAAAAACAAAGATTATAAACAAAGGGCTATCATCTCCTGACTTTCCAAACTTGCGACAGGTATGACGGTAGAAACAATTTGTAAGACCTTTTGAAACAAATCTAGGCCATCTCGTGAAGTTATATCATTTAATATGCATTTTATTTCTTGTAAAATAATCAATATATGTTTTGGCAAGTTCTGGGTATTGTGATTTAAACATTCTGCATAATGATATCACAGTAAAATAAGAATAGATACTGTTGTCTCTCTTCTAAAATGTGTTAAAACATTTCATTTTAATTATCACAAAGTGCGTTTTATTTCATTTGAAGTTTATACTTTTTAATAATTATTGACATTACTGAATGAATGATTAAAGTAGAAAAAGCGGTATGTTTTTAGAGAATCGTGGCGGCGGCGGCAGGGGAAGGAGTGGAGGGGAGTCTCCTTAAGCCCTCCCTCAAATCGCGCTAAGCGCTCCACTTCGAAAGAAAGAAATAAAACTTACCGATATGAGACTTTCACGTATCGTAACGTAAGAAAACGCCCTCACGAAACTACAAAAACCTCTCAGTTGGCCTCTTCCACACAGAACACTTGCGTATGAGTGGCCCCTTTATTACTGCACTTCCACTCGAAACAATCACACAACTCCTTTCGCTTGGTCAACCTCATCGGACACTTACACACACGACATGTAAATCCTGCAGCAATCAAACCACGTTCTTGCACATACTCAGTTACAAACACCCCTTTCGGCGTAACAGCGTAAGATAAACTCATTTAGTCCGACCATCGTAGCTCAACTCTCCAAAACACAAATAATCACAAGAGCACAAGAAACGTGACTGTACGACAGCTTCCCCGACACACAAAATCACACCGCCACAATTGCGGCACTATTTGATAATGGAGCTCAGACAAGATACTACGGTGAAATTACCTCCCCTAACTTATGACGTAACGATCGTGACCAATTATGAACCATTAAAATGATTTCAATGGTGATAGTTTTACAATTTATTTAGATCGCCCACGTCGAAGGCGAAACCGCCGACACTTACTTATTAAGTGTATACTAAGTTATGTACAATGCTCACTACCCCTGCCCACCGAAAGATTCCCTTCATAAACCCCCTAATCATCACTTCCCCTCCACCCTCGATTTCCCCTCGCCGGAGCGGCGCGAAAGGTCGTTTTAAACGACTTTCTTAAGTTGTACCGTGTTCTAAACATCAGCCGAATGATTTTTTGGTGTTCAAAAATTTCGGTGTCTGTATGGAATTTCTGCTTGCTCATCAAAATACGACACATAGCCTCGCCATGCCCATGTCTACGCAAGATTTCATTAAACATAATGCAACGCATACTTGAGCCCCTGTCCTAGGAATGGAAGGAGGTACTTATGGTTGCTGCAACAGCTACTCTATTCCCAATGTGGAACTCGAACCCGTCAAGCCGAAATGGTCAACGTACATCTGGCTTAATGATTGCAGCAAACCCGATGAGCTTCCAAGTATTTATTTTTCATTGAGATAGCACAGTAGGTGGGCGTGAAATGACAAACAATAATTAAGCCATGGAAGCAAAACTGGTGTGGTGTCACACAGGGAAAAGGTGAAAATACTAGTAATTGTATTTAAGAAGTGGTCTTTTATTCATTTTAAAGGAAAATTAGAAAAATCAGGAAAAATACATTGAAAAAAATTCTTCAATACATTGATTTGCACATCATTATTTAAGTTTGTGTCTGCCTGACTTGGCTTTCACACAGAAGTAACAACAGTACCTATCAGTTCTGTGAAGAGGAATGTTCCACATATATTTGGTCACATTTACATTTTTACAACAAAAAATCAGAGACACATGCATATTCTTGTAAGCAGAGAGTAAAAGTAACAAAGTCCTTGTGTATTCCACATTTATCACTTTCTTCGGTAAGGAAACTGCTGAAATGCTGAGAGTAAAGCTTATGTACAATTGCTATTCCAGCCTAAATGCCATTGCCAGACTACAACGGAAGATCTGACAGATGAGATCAAGGGGCCATTAGAGAGGAGGGAGACCATCACAGCCACTAGTTTTGCAGAAATATGGATTCCTGCCTTACAGAACCCAACAATGCATTGCACAATCCCATCTTTGCCTCCACAATGGTCAATACTAACAACTAAAAAATACATCACACATTTAACTCTCACACTACGGGGAATATCAATGTCATTTTTCACACATAGCTATTAATTTGCTCACAGTCTTCTAATGTAGGCCAACCACACTTTGCAGAGAGCTCTAATGCTGCAGTCACTATCTCTATTTTTATAAAGAACCTGGTCCATCACTGGCAATTGAGTCCACATCATCTGAATCACAATTTGATGATGCACCACCAGAACTAGGCATAGCAACTCGTGCATATTCATCTGTATCAATAGATTTGCAAAAATGGATGGCATATTTGAGCTTCTCTCGAAGGACAGCCTGTAGAAGAAACAGAGTTGATTTAAATAAGCATTGAAAAACATTTATACACTTCTGTTCACAAACATTTCATGGTACAAATAGACCATTTGAAAATTACACTAGTATAGGACTTGGTGGAGGACAATGCAAAAAAAAAAAAGTAATTATGTTCATCTTACCTTGCAAGAATAACGTGGCATTTTCAATAGAAAAAAACAGGTATAACTTTCTGGTAGGAAGTGATCTGGAGGGCTGTACTTATCAAGAACTTGCAAAACAAAGTCTCGCCCACGAAAATCTGCAATTGTGCGAGGTAGCCGAGTACGGCCCCAAACGAATCGTAAAAATAGAGAGCGCTCTTGGTTTGAGAATTCTTCCATAACTTCCCAAAACCATACAATCAGGGCAGCATTTGCATCTACACCTGTAACAGATTTCACATACATAAACATAACTAGTGGTGCTACAGAATGGCACAGTCTTTCCCATATTATTTTTCTATTTTCTTTGGTCTCAGCTAGCTATTAGAACTTGCCACATACTCTTACTTGCTGCCATCTATCACAGCTCAAAGTACATTTTTCTTATTTTCTTAATTTTTCTGATTCCTAATAATAGAACGGAAATATTATTTCATTTAAAGCACATTAACTCACAAATACAAAAGTGTTTACAAATTGCCCAAAATGTGCATATTACTGGTGTGAAAGATTTAAAAAAAACAAAAAAATATTTGTATAATTTTTGAAAAAACAAAAACATATCCTGTAATGAACTTTACGTCATATTAAAGAGGGCAATTAGCACTACACTTTCGAAACAATTGGAAGACATTTTTGAGAAAATGGCAATTACAAGAAAAACATTTTTTGTAATTTTATAGAACAAAAGAATAGAGCAATATGGCATTTATATCATTTTATAGAATACATTCAGAACTACTCTACAAAATGTTTAAGGAAAAAATTTGTTTTTGTAATTTTTAAAAATTGCACATATTGCTTGCAATATTGTGCGAAAACTACTAAAATTTTCAAAAAAATGTGCATAATCTTAATGAAAGAACTAACTATGGAGGAAAAAAAATATTTGAATGAAAAATCTTTATCTACAATATTGTAGTTGAAGAAAGATGCAATAGTCTTTTGCAATGTTTGAAAATTCAGAGTTATTAATGAAAATAGGACCTGTGCTGCTTTGTTAAGAATATTTTACTTTATTATTACAAGAAATTTAAAGAAGAAAATTGGAGCTGTTTTTGAGAAAATGTCTGGGAGTTTCTTGTAAAATACCCCCAAATTTTATAGAATGTTTTTTCAAATATCAAAGCTTCGACTTGAGCCAGATGAACCACAGTTTCTTCAATTTGGAAAAAATCCTATGCAAGGTTTAGGCGCTAGTAATGTTCACAAATGAACAGATGGATGCACAGACGTACGTTTTGAAAAGAACCACCTTTTCGGTATTAGGGAATCCCGAAACATGTATTTCCATCGAAATCGATTTTCTGCGGCATTACATAACTTTCCCTATAATGCATGTATACTCCATATATACGTACATATACAGGAAAGTAATAAAAAACAGAATTTTAAAAATATATTTATACAATTAGTTAAAGGCGTTTTCTATCAAGGGGAATGGTTAAAAATAATATATAAATCTGAATTGTTTTGGTAAAAACGTACATAAATGTATCTATGTATTGCCTAGAATGAAATTGTTCATTCCAAAGGACCAAGTTATATGTTCAAAGCATATAATTTGATTTCCACACATTCACTATATTTATGTTGGATGTATTAGTTGGATGTATGTTTCAAATCATAATGCAATTGTGGTAAGTAATTTGAAAAATAACTGATTATTCTCATGATCTCATGATTATTCTCATCACTTTGTTTACACACTTTTTGTTTTGTTGTTGCTACTTAATGTAACATGGGTAAAGTGTTGACACAAAGCACAAAATTAAGGACCTTTAATTACAATTCTAAATATAAACTGGATATATAATTTACTTGTAACTTGATTCAATAATAAATTAATAATGCAATAATCATCAACAATATAATAATATTAATGAAATGTCTTCTTTTTTATTCTAAAAGAAATTCATTAAACAATCTTAAAAACTTTTCATTGTCAAGAAAGAAAGCTCACCTTTATATGTAGCCACAGATTTCAAAAGATTGAGTGGAATGTCGGGAGAACCACAAACCATAGTCTCCAGTTCATATCCTGAGAAAAGGGATAGTAAAGGTACTGGAATAACACGGGCCATGCCTTCACGAACTGCAGCTACCTGCTCATCAAATTCGTGCAACCTGGAAATAAAAGTTAAGGATCAGGCACACAAACCAACAATTATAACTGCAACTGAAGAAACAAATGTAACACTTTTTTAACTTAATTTTCTCTACTATACCCGGCATGGTCTCCATATGAACTTTGCTGGAAAACACACTCAGTAGCGAGCTCAGTTCCAAGGCAATCAATCAAATAATTAATAAAACTACTACTAGATATAAAATTGAAATGAAAGACTTTGGACATTGTCACTACGATGCACAAATTCTTACTGTTATAAGAAATGGAAACAATGACATAGTATACAATACACATGTGTAGATTGTTTCCTTATCTATAAATAATTTTATTTTACTATAACTGGCAGAAGGAATCACAAGACTCTGTTTACAATATTGTTGATACAAACAAAAAGTATAAGTTGATTTTTGTGACAATTATTTGACTTCAGTATGTGTATTCCTTGTAAAAAAATAACATTTCATGGAAAATATTAAATTATCTATTAGACCGTCATTAAGTTTCTATTTATACATTTTTTGTACAGAATTTTTTTAGACATTTAAAAACCATTGAGAACAAAAACACATTGACCAGAAAAAATAATTTTGTTTAAACCATTTATTAATATTTAAAGTCATCCATGCCCACATTTTAAGGATTTCTTTTCCTCTTCTACACGAGTTATTCTCAGAATAATTTTTTTCATTTTTCAAAGTACATTTCTTATTATGTATGAGTAAGACAAGAAGTTCTTACCATCTTTGATGAATTCTGATCTCTGACACTACAAAATGCAGAGACTTCCATCAAAGATGTTAAGAACTCTGTCTTACTCTTACAGAGAGAATCAGAGTTCTGGTCTCCGAAGCTATGGTGTATACTATATGTTGTGCAGTAGACCAATGTTTCTTCTTTTTTCCTCTCTTTTGAGAGAAGAGATGAAATAGAGAGAGAGAGAGATTTGAGAGAAAAAGTCTACCTTTTAGGAATTTGGCAAAATATCCAATTGTATCTTTTTTATTATTATTATTATATGATGATGATGATGCTGATAGTGATGATGTTTATTATATTATTATTATCATTATTAACATCATCATCATCATCATCATCATCATCATCATCACTAATCACCAAGTTCATCATTATTCATAGTTACATACAAAAAGTTGAATATCAAATGTATCCTGACTGTAGTGAAAGTGAACCAACTTTTTGAAACAAGTGAAGGGAAAAAAAGAAAATTAAGGGTTGCATACCTGTAATTCAGTGCCAGACGTACATATTCTAAACGATTTTCAGGAGTGATACGTTTATAACGAGTTGACAGTGGCACTTCCGCCCCACACGCACTTGGTGAACTGAAAGGCATTTCAAGGGCACTAAATGCTTTAGCATCTGGCTCCATGTCTCGGATGCAGAGGAGACCAGGAACATAATCCCGATCCACCTCTGTGAGATCTGCCGGAGTGAGTGGGAGTCCAGCCAGCTGCTTCCACACAGGCTCAGCCAGGGACAGAGATAGAGGTGACCCCGTGCGAATCGCAATTCCCATTAGAACACCTATGGACACAAAGTGACAATGTTTGCCCTGTTTGGTTATATACTTCACTTCATATTTAGTACTGACTACTATTTATGTAATATTTGTCTACAAAGAAAATGAAAGAGAGAGTGTGAGAAAGTGAGCATGGGTGTGGGCATGTATGTGCATATAAGGTTCCTAACTATTCTTTACAGTTTATAGAGCATAACAAAAATGATGATATTTATTTACCAAGGAATCGAAACATGTTCATATGTAATGGTGATTTCAAAGCAGGATTCAATAGGAAACAATCCCGATTTGTTCCAGCTTCATCACGTCCATTCGGTGTGCTTATCAGTAGAGGTAGAGAACCGTTCTGAAGTTCTTCACACATTTCAGTAATGCTTTCTGAATATCCACCACCACAATCATCCACGCTCTCCCCCACAAATTTCACTTTCCATACGCGATGTGGTAAGAAAAGTGTATCTGGGCTGAGAAGGGGCAACTTGGCCACCTGAAACATGAAATATTTAACAAGAACTTCATTCAATCAAATAATATTCATTTCTTCAAATTATATCTTGATATAGTTATGTCATAAAATACATTTTATAATGGACCCTTAATCCTTAAAATACAGTAATTATTTAGGTCAATTAATTAAATTAGTTTCTTAAGTTCTGTTGTTAAATGTTATTACATTTCACAATAATTTTTTAAAAAATTTAATATTTCGTGACGTAGAAAAAATCAAAAGAAACAAAAGGTGGAAACTGACAGTTTTGAGACTTAGAAGAAGATTGAACAAGCAGATAAGCAGGAAATTGCAGATAAATAGGAAATTGACCAATTGGAGGTTAGTAGAGGTCAGGAAAGCTCACTCAGTAGAACCAAGGCTCATTCCAAGGCAGGCAAAGATTCTTTCTAAGTTATTGTAGAGCAGGGAAAGAAAAAAGGAAAACAACAACATTAAATTAAAAATGTATTATGTCTTCTTCCTCGTCTTCTTCACTACATGGATTAGGGAGATTCCCTTTTCCGGAAAGGTATGATGTGTGTGATTATGTATAAGATCTATAGATATGATACTATATCTATAAGATATATAGATATATAATAGAAACTAGGATTATTTTTACCATTTGTCCAAAAACAGATTTCATTCCATCTGGTCCAGCAAGACCACCTTTAGATCTTGATCGTTTCACCTGAATACGATTAAGTTCAATAACTGGTCCGTGTTGTCGATCACGCACCATTGTAGCCTGGACCACCTGTGTTAGAGATAGTAAAGCAAAGGTTTGCAAATTAAAAAGAAACTCTTAAAATTACACAAATGATGAACAAATATTTGAAACTTTCCATTATTATCCAGTGATATTTTTAGGATCTTCATTTAATTATTTATTTCTTCGGAAAAGCATTATTTCTACACTCATTTGACATTAAGTATTCTCAAGAGTTAAAATGTCTACAGTTAAGTTAATGACAAAAAGGGCTTTTTCTTTTAAATTGACATTCTGTGGGTTATATCAATTAGCTTTGGGTATGTGAATGCAGGTATTAATGTGTATGTTGATACACATTTCTTTTCTGATAAAATCTTATTCAAAATAAGATTCTATTTTGAATTTTTGTTTAATAGAGTTCATTAACACAGGGAACAGAAAAATAGTTTTGACTAACCTTACGGAATGTTGCCTCTTTTGTCGAAGAAACCAGTATACCACGCAATCGGTCCAATCCCCCTTCACCATCCATAGGAAACATAGCTACACTTGGACAAAAGAGTTCAGAGAAGTGGTGCAGCAAAACAAGACGATTTCGTAGTAGTGGCAATGGTAAATCTCGCACCAAATCATATTCCAGAGGAGCTCCTGCAGGTAGTCGGGATGCAGATGCTGGTTTATTGGTACTCCATGCCAAGGTATGAGCTGAACCACAAGCAACTTGTGTAATTTTCTTTGCCTAAACATGAATAAATTAGGTCAGAATTAAGTATGGCAAATCATTTAAAAAACTACTTTACAGTTATAATTTAGAAATCAAGAATAACTTAAAAAATCACATTAAATTAAAATTACATGGCCTTCAAATTGGAGAGAAAAAAGAAAGAAAAAAACATTCTTAAATACAGCATTACAGTTACTGCTGTTTGATCCAGCACAACGTTACTAACAAAGTGCCTATTCTCTCTTTGCAAAAGATGAAATTTGCTACAATTAATTTACAGTAATATCAAACTGGAAATGACAAGAATCAATCCTCTGAAACCATTAAGAGGTTTTCATTTCTCACCATTTCATCTGTGCTCTTGAGACCTTCTTAATCTCTTCTTAACCTTCTAACACTATAACTATTTTGTCTGCTAGGATTACAAGTAATAACCCTCTTAATCATGAAGAGGCTCAGAGCAAGAACAAGAGACAATGTCTGCACAGATCTCATTCTTGAAGAGAAATGGATAGACCACATGAGAAGTCATAACAAATTTGCACAAGAAAGGAGAAAAAAAAAATTGTAGCAATTATAGGGGGATAACACTCCTACCCACAGCATCAAAATTTTTTGCCAACATACTTTGATACAAATTGAACGAATACAGTGGAACATTACTGGGAGAAGAACAGAATGGATTCAGAAGTGGAAGGAGTACAAAAGATGCAATATTTACATTACAGACAAGTCTTGACAGAGAGTGAATTTACCGACTTACTTATTATTCATAGTCTTTGAAAAATCATATGAAAGAGTAGATTGCGAATTAATGTGGCAAATTCTGGAAGAAGAGAACATACCTGTAGAAATTAGAAAAGGAAGCTCTACATTGACTCACAGATGAAGATAAAAAAGAACAATGTATTTGTGACAAAATCTTTTGCAACAAACAGAGGGTTAAAGACACAGATGTGGCCAGTCACCATGCCTGTTTAACATATATACCAACCATATAATCAAGGAATGGAAAAAAAATATAAGTAAGGGATTAAATATCAGTTTTCCGCTCAGCCGGCAGTGTGAGGCTGGGACGGTCGTGCACTTCCTGTCCCCCAGGTAGAACACCGTGTGTAGAAAGGCGATCAGTTTCATTATCTACTTGTGCCATGCTGCTACTGAAAGTATCTTGTATGTTATTACGGTGAGTAAAAGAGCCTTAGGAGAGTGGGGCACTCGGTGCACAAACTTCCTCACTTATTGGTTATCTACGTCGTTACTCTCTCCTGGGGACACCTTTGGCCATCGTTCGGAGCTAGCCGTCGCCTCATGATGTCCTCAGAGAGCTCCCGTATGCACACAACTGAAATTTTCGAAGTTCCGCTGCCAGAGGTGGTCCGGGAGCCAACTTGGCCCGTCAGCTAGGCTGAGTCGATCTACTATATTGCAAGTTTTATTAACAGGAAGTCACCTCAGTCGCAACAGGTCGCTCTGCGGGTGCATTCGGAAGCGTGCTGACTTGAGTAACATATAAGTTCCGGGCTCTCGGCACAAGTCTCCCTGCGCCTCACCGGGATCATTTGGAAATTTTACTGTCTCAAAGGGATTTTATTATGATTGTATAAGTGTGAAATACTTATAAACATAAAATGATTAACTGTAATAATTCAGCATGGGCATTACAGGAATTTATGTGGGACTTAATAAAAATGGTATAAACGTGAAAAACAAACAAGTAAGAAACTTATAAATACAGTTTCACTGTATCACTATAAATGCTTGAATAAATAGTATGCCTATAAATGATTAATTAATTAACAAATAAATATATTAGCTTTTTTTATCTTCTAGCATCTCACCTGCAAAGCGACGACGAGGCGAGGCCTTTGAATAGCGTTTGTGCTTCCATCCCCCAACTGCCCCTCATCGTTGTCTCCCCAAGTGAAGACTTCACCCTGATCACTGCAAGCCACACAATGCAGTGAGCCTGTAGCAATGCAAACTATCTTTTTTCCCTGAAGAGCTGCTACCTTACGTGGTCTGCGTACATGGTCATCTGTGCCATGTCCCAGACGATGATAGTCTCCCTTTCCCCTGAAGAAATGAATTGCAAGACATTATATTACTTTCTTATTAATAAAATAAAAAATATACATGTGTGTGTGCACATACACTAACATAAAGCATCAATACAGGCAATAGTATAGAAAGCACCTCAAATTGAAATGAAGTGAATTGTAATGAAAAATGAATTCTACCCTAAGAATTTTTCAACTAATTTACAACACTAACTCACCACTTCACAACACAATTCCTTCTAGTAATTCTTTTAGAGGCAATTGTGTAATGATGATGGCACAAATTGTACAAAATTGTCATCTTTCCTTGGTATTGGAATTAAAGTATCTATGTTGATGTTAATATCTTAATAGCAGACAAAAGTTCACTTACCAAGTATACACACTGCCAGATCGAGTAAGTGCAACAGAGAACTGAGATCCACATTCAACTTTAATAACACCCAGACCTGCCAATGATTCAATCTTGAGGGGAATCTTGCAGCCATCTGAACCACCACGACCTAGCTTCCCATAATCTCCATCACCCCACGACCACACATTATCATCATCCGTGATGCACAGAGTCTGAGCATCACCACTGCCACAGGCAACATCTACGACTTGGTAACCCAGCAGTGCTTCCACCTAAAAAGCAGATGCACAAAATCAAAATTTTTACATTTTACAACATAAAACAACTTAAGTTACCTACAAATTTCAACTCCACACAATTTTAGCTATGAAAAATATATTTTGTATTGAATTATTTAAAAGATACTGTGACCAAAATTACAAAATAAGGCTGATGTTTGATTCATACATAAATTTTCTTGAATTATCATTTGGAAGTTTTCTGTGGATATGCTAGGAAAATTAAAAATTGCAGAGTTGGATTCAACTTTGATTGTTTTCTTTTAAGCTATCAGATTATGACAATCAGATAATCAGAGCTGTTCTACCCTCTAACAATTTAAAATTAATTTTTGTGAAAGGAAACAGTTCCTGAATTTTGTTGACAGAATTACAGTTTTTAGGATAACTTTCTATCAGCACACTGAACTCACAAGTTTTGGGCGCAGCTGATCTTCACTGTCTCCATGACCCAGACGACCATAGCGACCCTTGCCCCAGGTGTATAACTCTCGACCATGAGTAATAGCTGCTGAATGGGCACCACCACAAGCAATATCTATTACTTCTTTACCACGAAGTGCTTCAATTACACGTGGACGTTCACAAGAACTGAAAGATATATGAACATCAAATCAGAATATATAATCAACTGTCCTATAAAAATATTGCATTCCTATTTTAATTGGCCAGAACGTGACTTGAATCATTAACTTGGAAGTGTTCATCAGGTTACATAGAAATATCATATTGATCAAAAGATATAAAACATTAATAATCAATTGTTCACTCCAAGAATATCATCAAATTCAAAGACAAGAGAAGTCAAATTCTAAAAGGAAATTCTATGGAAATCAGAATGGATAAAAACATTGTGTTCTTATAAGTCGTAATAGAAGGAAAACATGTTTAATTATATTAAAATTTACAGTATATCAATATTGATCATTCTGCTAAACAGCAATTTAATATAGTCCATAGTATATTAAAATAAATATCTACATTACTACATTCAAATATATTATCTTATACCGTTTTCATGGAAGATTAAAAACTGTGGATGAGGTCCTTTGCTGCAGTATGTTAAAGACAAGTTTGGAGCTGCCTTTGGAAGAAGTTTAAACTAATGTATGAACATAAGATAGCAGTCATCCACAAATAGTGATGCTTTGACTAGTTCATGCTCAACTACCTTGATCAAATTTTAAAAAGAAGGTGATGATAAACAGCTCTCTCATATATCGCACATTTTACTAGTAAATAAATAAAACACTATAAGAACTACTTTTGAAATTTTCAAGGAGGCCACTGAGGCCCATGCGCACCCACCTATGTGTATACCTATAAGTATAAATATTGTTGTTATAAATTATGTTGAAATCTGGTAGTCAAATTTAGTTTCAGTAGTATTAAGTGTGCATTGTGATTATAAAGCTGACGTTTGAGAGTGAAATGGTAAGTCACCTCAGTGTCTGGGTGACCAAGTAATATGTGTATAAAATCAAAATCTCGCCTCACTTCCATGAAAAGACATACTTTTTTAAATGTTTGTAGTAAATATAGTTTTCTTCCACTGAGATTTGTGGAGAATTTTGGAGAACAATACAGAATACTGAAAACAGCCCATCATCTTGATTCTCCTTACCTGCGGTTTCCATGACCAAGTTTGCCATCATCACCTTCACCCCAAGAATAAACCTCTCCTTCTGCTGAAAGTGCAAGGCAATGTTTTCCTCCTGAATTTACTGCAACTTTCTTTATGAAGACATGCTGAATGGACTCAAGAAGAGTAGGCGAGAGAACAGAATCAGTGCCACCGACTCCTAAACGCCCCCCTGCTCCATATCCTAGAAAGCAAAAGAGCCACATGTCAGCATTGACATAAGATCCAAAACATTTAAAAGCTTAGACTAATTAGGCATATATTTAATTATTAAATTTTAATAACAGGCTCTGCGGTGCAATACAGGATACAATTTACAATATACATTGAGACCAAACAGTCATAACTGTACAGCATAAAAGGAATAAAATAATTAAAATACACATACCACAACTCTACTACTAATCACAAGTTAAATCAGTTACATACAAGTACAAGTTTTTAGGTTGATTAGAAAACAAATATAATGATTCCATTAAGTTATCTTGAGTAATACACAGGCTGTAATGCATAAGTAATGAAATCTAATCTTGTAAGTCATGGAATTAATGAACAATATACATTATTTTTTTTTTACAATCTCACTCACACACAAAACAAAAAATGAAAGTTTGTGATTGCAAGTTTTAGAATTTGACTGTGTGTATTTTGTGCTTCCTTCATGATATATCTTTATTTTATTATATTTAATCTAAATAAACTTGGTATAATTTTGTATTATATATTTATATGTATGAAATAAATTGCTAAAATTTTGTATTAAAATAAACTTCTGAGGAATTGTTTAACTATATTTTAAAACATTAGTTGATCATGAATTTATGTTTTATATGTCAGTTAGTATGGCTTTCTTTGCCTTATAATTTTTTTATCAATTTCAAATTGTATTTTGTAATTACTGTTGATTGTTCAATTTGTAGATTTTTATATTACTACAGTTATGTACCTAATGATGCATTTACATCAAACTGTGAAACATAGTGAAAGAAAGAACGAAAAAAAAGTACATTTAATAAGAAATTGATTATCTATAACATACAAGAAACTTCATCCCAATAGTTACGCATTCAATTTTCTTCATTTTTCACATTTCTAAACACTTGTTTCTGTGCTAATTTTTCCTTGTAACCTCAAAATTTATAGCCTAGTAACCTTTAAAGCCCAGTATCCTTGCACACGGAGAACACCCAAGAACAAAACAAACATAACATGTAGGATACCTGTGGCATAAACTTTCCCATCTGCTGTCACAGCAACAAGGGTCTGCTCTCCACCTGCCAACTGCACTGGGCGCAAAGCAGACAGAGCCTCACATGGAGTGGGTAATTTCACTTTTGCTCCCTCCACTCCTCCTAACTGACCTCGATGATTATGTCCCCATCCATATATAGTGCCAGAGCCAGACCAACTGAGAGTCCAATCTTCAGGTCGCCTATTAAACAAAAACAATTAAAAAATAATTTTGATATAAACTTATATATGTATTTCATCTTCTAAAATTCCAATAAAAATGCCCTAGAGGGAGTTGAGGATTTATGGAGGTTTGACAATCTAAAGTCTATTTTGGGCCAGAGAAATTTCCAAGGGGAAACAAGACACAGGGATGGGAATTTAATACTAAGCTTCTGCAAAAGCATATGGAGATGGATACCTGGGGGAAATGGCTAATGATGGACTGAGTGCATACAATGCACAGTGACTTGGGTGAAGGACTGCTTGGTGAGTGGCCTGTTTACAGAGGATAATTTCACACCATTTCAGCCAATCAAAATGTATCGCTTTCAGATCAGAGATGGTTCTCCCGCCTCATCTAAGAGGCATTCGATGCGACTTGTGCATAGGTGCCAATGCTGATCCGTATACTGGCATTGCGTATGGTATTCAATGGATGGAAGGCCGATAGATATACTCACCCATACACAAAACACCCATTATCTAAAATATGATGGATAAGGGTTCTTTACGAAAGCAAAAGAGATACTTGGTCTGAGCCCCAAGAGCTACCACTAAGGGTAAGGGTACCAGTAAGTGGCTTATGATGATGTTAAGGAACAAGAAAATAATAGTTCAGCTTTAAGTCTTAACGTTCTCATCAATAAGGCTATTTTGTAGTCAATAAGACATTTTGTAATTTTATTTTGACTAAATAGTAAGAATTAGTTAAAAATTTAAAAAGTTTTTAGGGGACCCCTTCAAAATAGGGTATCGTCTTATATTCGAGATCGTCTTAAATTCAGCTAAATACAGTATATGAGAATGTATATAAGAAACAATAATAGATATCTGTACCTGTGTAACCACATAAGTAATTGCTCATCATGTTCTTGGCGGAACAACTGGTGATTTTCATGTTCCCAACCTTGTCCATCACTATCAGGTGCAATTTCCAGAATTTTCTTGCGAACCTAAAATCATATCCAAACAAAGTTTAAAAACAGGTATAATTTCAACTAACACAGGACAAGATATTGATTTAAAGACACAAGACATGGTATATATTCAAAGATGGCCAAATAAAAAATAAATAAATGAATTTTTTTTTTTTAGTTGAAAGACGCAATCAGACCTGCACAAAGTATCAGTTAATTTTTTTTCATGCAACCAATTTTAATTAGGCAAGTGGATGAGTGAAGCCAACATACCCAGAAGACCTTAGTTACAAATACTTAGCTTCAATTACTTAGTTTAAAAAAAATAATTCTCAGTAGTTTGGGTGCATTTTTAAAAACATTTCTGCTCTTATTTCCAATCACACACTGTTTACAAGGCAGACCTGGACATATGTAAAGATGGCTAAGCTACGTTCATTAAATAGTGTTTTAAACAGGGATCTCTGTCCTAGCATTCTACATCTTTTTCAAAGACACAAATGTTGTTATAATTTTTTATCTTCTCTTGAACTGTGAAAGTTAAGATGACTTCGAGATTTGAAAACTGTTTTCCTCTGAGAATGAGTGTAATTGTCAAGCAACACTTTTGGAATTTTATTGGAATAAAAATTCGTACAATTTGTACACCAACCAAATCATATGCAACTTCAACAATATACAATTATAGACTGATTTTATTCAGGTTCGACTTCATTCATTTTTACAATTTATTAAAAATTGAGGTTTCTGCAAATCAAAAGTGGTGAAGGAACCAGTAGTCAACACATAATTGTCAATCTATTTTCTATCGTTCAGCACTGGTTGCATGATCCTTTCACAAAACTTCCATACTTTGTATTATATAATAAATTCCCTTATGTTTTCGTCAACTGTTTGCTAGTAGATGTCAAATGAATTTTGAATTATCATAAGCAGAAAAGATCTATGAAAGAATGTACTAGATTAAATATAACGTTAGAAAAATTACGAATAAAAAAAAAAGAGAACTTATCAGCAATGTTAAAGATTTGGTTCTTCTTTTAGACAAAGAAAACATTTTTAATTAAATTACATTTCAGGAAGTAATTAAACAGATTGTCTTAAGTGTTCTGCCTTTTACTTATTATTTCTTGCCATTGTTGTTCTTGTTGTTATTAGCTTGTTCACATCTCTTAGTAGGGCAAAGGTCTCTTACATTGTAAGGTGTTCTAAATAAACTAGATAGCTTGTTAGTTGCTATTTTTAGTCTTATTTTCTGTTCACTTCTCAATGGTTCCTTCTTTTTGTTCATGATTAATTATCGCTTCACTATCACTCCACTTATAGGTGACTTTTCGTTGTGCTATTTATTTTGTCTCACTGTTCCAGTTTATTTGTGTTATTTTTTTCTTAATTGATTTCATCGAGTGTGTGGATGATTTCTCTCCATTTTGTGTGGTCTTCTGCTGTTCTGGTCCATTGTCTTCTCAATCTTCTTACTATGTCATCTGACCACCGTGTTCTTTGTCTTCCGATATTTTTCTTGCCAGTCCTTGGGACCTGTATTGTAATTTTCTAGGTCTATCTGTTTGTGTGCATTGTCATTACATGTCCTGCTCATTTTCATTTTAGAAGTTGTTCCTTGTCTTATGTCAGTATTTCTTACTTTGTCTCTTAGACTTATACCTAATATTTTCCTTTCCATCTTCTTGTGACATATTGTTATCATATTTTTCTCCCTTTCCATTAGTGATCATGTCTTTCTCTTATACTGGTTCATTACTCCTTACTCGCTGGCCTTACTTTACCCTTCCCCTTTCTCTACTCCTGTTGACTCTGAAGTTCGAATTTAGACAAGGTTCATTTTGAGTCCTTTCCTCTGTTTTTACTTTGTATATTTTGATTTTGGGCAGTTCTTTACATGAAAACAACAAATCAAAAATTTTAATAGATATCTCAAAAAAGGCTTCAAATTTTTCCCTCAGGTAGAGATTATAAAAATGGTTCAGATCTGATTTTTGCTGAATTCATTAAATTACTGAAAATCCCAAAAGGAATTTTTTTTTAGTGACTTCGTACAACTTCAATACCATAGAAAGATTTTTTTGTAATAATATCTGTTCTTCAAAAATAGATCTTTAAATAAGATCATGAACAATTTTTTTCACACTATAAGTAGTTTTTTGCGAAATTCTGCATGCAATTGAAGCAATTTGAAAAACAAGATTTTTCTTAAACACAGTTCCAATTTTTCTCCCCAATAGTATGCGCACAAAAATGGTGAATTTCATTGAACTCTCTGAATTTTCCAAACAAGCAAAAGTTACAAATAATGCAAGAAATATGTTCTGTTGCAGCACAATTAGTTTGCAATATATTCCCTTTTCTAGCAACCACTATCCTGATCACCCTTGTATGTACAACACAGCAACACACTGGCATTCGTGAAAGTTCATGCATGACATCACAAGGGTGGACACTAGTGTAAGGTTTGGTAGAGAATGAGGGCATTGTGTGGTGTGCATGTACGAGGGTGAGCAGATGGTATTTGCAACAAAAAGGAATAAGTAGCAAAAATTGCCTTGAGGAAGGCTTAATAACTGCTTGAATGTTGGCAATTTACTTTCTTTGTGTGATCTACAGTCAACGGAATTCCCTATAAATTCTCATATTTACTCAAAATGGTGAAAATGGACTTTGTTACAATTGAATCTATTCTATTCATATGAATGTGCAAATATCATCAATAGTTGCTGAAAATCAACTTAAAATGTCGTAGTAGAAGTCATGTACGATAACACAACTTCCCCCATTTTCTAAATAAACTTACCTCCACACAAAAGGAATGGGGCAAGGCAGTTCGATTCACAAGTGCAGATGCAACACGAGCTGCCATGCAGTATCGCCTGAACCATGACCATTTATGATTCTCAGAGCAACATGGTAATGAATCCAAACCTAAGTCACATGCAAGGGCAACCAGAACCTGAAAGAGAGGTATTTTGCAATGATCAGTTGTAAACAATTCAAATTTGAAAATATTACAGAGGAAACTTTTAAATAGTAAATTTAACAACAAAATCTAAAGACATACAAAATAAAAATTAATAAAAAAGAAAGAAGGAAATTTACATTTCTTCCCAAATTGTTGGTTTCTGCATGAAGAGTCTTAGTAGTGATGATTATTCATTTGGTTAAAACAAAATAATTTGCAACTAATTCTTAAATATCTACGTCTTCAATGTATAATAAGACATGTATTGTTTTTGTCTAATCAGTGGGATGGCTGAGACAGGCCTGAGACAGACCTAGGGCTCTCTCAGTAAAAATGGGATTTAATCAGTACGACAAAAGGAAAAACAGGAAGTAGAATAAGATTAAATGTGTGACAATAAAAAAAGGAAAGGCAAGAGAGGAAAATTATGGTATTCTTGACATCAGTGGTCTTCAACATTTTTTTACAAAATGGCTATTTTCTTTTTGGTGAAACTAGAGAGTTGCAAATAAGAAAATTATATGATACTTATGAAACGCAAACATATTACAACTGTATGGAATGCTGAAACATACGGGCTACACAAGTATGTTTTATTTTGTCTATAAGTACAGAAACATTCTTGAATTTAAAAGGAGTCTTTATGGGTTTTTTGCAACTAAATTGTCAATAATGGCTTTAATACGCTTCAAACTTAAAGCACGGGTCGCAATGTATTAAAGGAGCATTTGTTTGCGGGCCGCGGATCGTGTGTTGAAGACCAATTCTCTCTTGTTGTACCGAATTTCTGTGCGGGTGACGTTCAAAAGACCCATGATGACGCCGCTAGTGGTTTCCTCGTGACGCATAGGCTGCAGTTTTTCCGATGACCTAATTTACCTTCTTGTCGTAAACTGGGAATGAATACTTGAAAGTGTTAAAGAGTCTTACCGGTTGAGTGCTTCTGCCACGCATTTATGGCATCAGTATCAACATTTGTATCAAGAAAAGTATCCAGCCGCGATAGGTATCGGACTGAAACGTAACATTCTTCGCGAAGGATCATGCTGCGCGTACGTGGCAATGACAGTAGAGCGAGGCAAAGCTGCCACTCCGAGGCCCAATCGTCAAGCACGAAGGAGAGTGATACAACGTCCAATGGATCTACTTGCACTAAAAGGAAACAATCTCACATTTAAGTGGAGCGAAGCGTAGAAGATAGTGGAAGGTCTTTTTTGCAACGTAGGACAGGTATATACCCCAACTCTCGCAAGCGGAACGTTTGGCGGAAGAGGCTAAGCTCCGGCGCCGTGTCCTCGCTCAACAGATCCGCACCTTGAAGAAGTCGGAGTGCATGAGGTGCTTGCCCCCGCGCACCGCGGGGTCCTCGTACTCGTGCTGGCGGAGCAGCGCCTGCGGCAGCGCCTGCACCAGCGCCAGCAGCGCCGAGTCGGTGGGCGCGGCGGCGGCGGCGGACGGCAGCTGCGCAGGCGGCGCGCCG